CACACACACACACACACTCTAAACACCCAGACTGGCCTAGACCTGGGGATGGATCCGGTTTGGGAGTCCTATTAGTGTTTTTAGTGGAGGAGACACTTGACTCTAGTATCTCAGGGCAGCACTGTTATGGCTACTAGGCCAGAATCACAGATGTTACCTTAGAAACCTTTTTCTTCTTCAGCCATCTCCCGAGCCTGCCAGTTCATCTCCAAGCCAGGCCATTCCATCTCCTTGACATCCTTCAGGTCTAACCCCTTCCATCCAGTCTCACTGCCTCTGTGTACAGGTCACCTCCCCCACCCCTGCCTGCACCACTGCTTTAGTCTCTGCTCTTCTCTCTCTCTGCCACTAGCCTTGCATCCTAAGCAATCTGATTTGATTGCTTCCTTGCTGCCTAAAAGTAATGTCCAGATCCGTGGTATGCGTGGCTCTTCGTGATCTGCTTCCCCTGCCCTCCACTCTCAGTTCTCAGGGCACCCAGCAGCACCGTTGGCTCTCACGCCTTCAAATTAAAAATACCAAATGGTTACATGCTTCCCTAACTTGGTTCTTTCTGAAACCTCTGATTAGAATACAGCTTTCACACCTACCTACTGATCACTTCTTTACTGTCACATTCTCTGTGAAGGCATTTTTACCATCCCCCTCCAAAACCCATCACCTTTCCCCATAGGTATTACTATTCCCTCCCTTCGCCCTCTCTGTGACTTTAGCCAGTTCTTTCACAATATCTATAATGAATCAGTATTATTGGCTCACACATCTCTCTCCATCAAGGATACCAGGTCTTTTCTTTCTCAGCCTGGCATACAGTGCCAAGCTACATGGTAAGTGCTTAATAAATATTTATTGAATAAATAAATGGGAACTTGGCAGTACTCCTATAAAGCCTAACTACTTTGGCTCCACCCTTCAGGAATCGTTTCCTCAGGCCTAGGAACTTCCACACCCTTGCAGGCGACACTCAGGCCAACGGGAGCCCCCTCAGAGAGAGCAGAGACAGACAAAAAGCAACCAACAGCTCCTGCCTCAGAAGAAGATCTTGGTTAGTATATCGGTCACTTCCCACTAGATGCTTAGCTACAAAGTACTAAAAGATTTCAGATTGGGAGGAGTCTCATCTCTGGATCATCTGTTTTACTCAATTTTATGGTTAGTATGAATCTATTTAATTTTAAAATAATGCTTTTTTTTTTAAATATATCTTTATTGATTTCAGAGAGAGGAAAGGAGAGGGAGAGAGAGAGAGAGAGATAGAAACATCAAGGATGAGAGAGTCATTGATAGAGCCTGCAACCCCGGCATGTGCCCTGACCGGGAATCAAACCCCGATCGCCTGGATCCCAGGTCAACGCTCAACCGCTAAGCCACGCCCAGCTGGGCAATGCTTATTTTTAATTCTTTGGCATAGAATACACTCCTTCCCTTCACAGACATAGAGGGAAGTGCTTAGTTTTTCAGGAAAGGCTTCCTAAAAGGAACTAGATTACCCAACGCTTCTTACTAAATCACATGTCATTTCTAATTATACATGCATTATTTTATTAATAAGCATTAACTACTTGGTTGTAATCTTTAAAGCATTATTTGTTACACTGAAGAACACCTACAGCAAGAGATAATTAAAGGCCTTTTATTGCAGGTAATATGAATAATAAAGATGAAAATCAAAGTTGCAAGCAATTGACTAGGTGTATTAAATATTTATAGTCTTTACTACTTTTTATTGTATTGTAAAGCTTTATCTTTTGTCAAAATTGTTTATTATATTCCATTCTCAGGTAATGTAACTGACTTTAGCTCAAGTCCAACAAGAGAAACTGATCCTCTTGGGAAGCCCAGATTCAAAGGTATGTATGATTGGCTCCAAATCTCAATTTTGACAAGGCTATCTTTGGTGGGTGTATCAGTCAGCTGTTGCTACGTAATAAACAACCACAACATCTTAGTGGCATACCATAGTAAGTATTTACTTCTCATATGTGTACAAATCACCTTCATAATATTAACAAATGGGTGTCAGCTGATCTAAGATGTTCTTTGCTGGGTGGTTCTGCTGGGCCTCTTGTGAGTTGGGGACAGGTCTCTCCTTATCTGTTCATTCTGGTGCCTAGAATGAAGGACCAACAGTGACCCAGGAAAAACCATTCTCAGGACTATACAAAGTTAAGAGAGGGAGAATCCAAGTACACAACCACATTTTAAGCTCCTTCTTGTGTTATACCTACCAATATCCATTGGCGAAAGAAAGTCACATCGCAAAGCTTAAACCAAGAATTGGGGAAGTATAACCCTTTCATAGATATAGAGAATAGTTTTGAATAGTAACCTAATCTAACATAGTAGAAGAGATATCATGTGATGCAGAGCCCAGTATTTCCTTTTGTAATATTTTGTTCTTAAGTATAAAACTTGATAAATTTTAGCATATATGTACACCCATGAAGTCACCATCATGATCAAGATAATGAATACAGTCACAACCTCCAAAAGTTTATAATCTTTCTCTCTCACTCCTCCCACCCAACCTGTAGTCCCTAGGTAACCACAGATCTGCTATCCTATAGATTAGTATGCATTTTGTGGAATTTTATATAAATGTATGAACTCTTTTTTGGGGGGTCTGGCTTCTTTCACTCAGCATAATTATTTGGATATTTATCCATGCTTCATTTATTAATAGACCACTCCTTTTTATTACTAATATTCTATTGTATAGATATATACATAATTATTTAATAAATAACTTATTTATTAAACCTGTTCATGACATTTGAGTTGTCTCTAAATTTTTTTTTAATGTTACCACTAAAGCTGGTATGACCATTCATGTACAAGTCTGTGTAGACATATGTTTTCACTCCTTTTGGACAAATATTACCTTCTATTCCTACTTTGGTGCAAAATTTGATTTGGATCTTTTTATATCTTTCATGTCTTAACTTTTAACCATGTAGATTGTAGTTAGTTATTATTTTTGTCTAATGATTCTAACACCTATGCGAGTTCTAGGTTGGTTTCAAATGATTTATTTTTCTCCTCATTATGGGTAACATTCCTGTTAATTTCACCTTGTTAGTTTCTGGATATGTTTTTTTATTGCTAAAATACTTTTTAAATTTTGTTCTGGGTGTACTTAAATTACTTGAAACCACTTGATCCTTTTGAGTCTAGCTTTTAATATTTATTAGGTGGGGCCAGAATGTGTTTAGTGTAGGGCTTGTTATTGCCCATGACTGAGGCAATACCCTTTTGAATACTCTTTTCCATGCCCCATAAATTATGAGGTTTAAACTATGCTCAGGGAGAACCAATTACTTTTGGGTATTAGCACACACTAAACTATTTAGAAAAGTAAATTCACAGTATCCATATCGTGTATCCTAGAGACAGGATTTTCACATCTCTGAACCATTCACATCCTGCTCATAACGTGAGACCAAATGTCCTCAAATAATTATATTTATTAGTTCACCTCCCCCACCTTTACTCAAAAAATGCTAAATGTCAGAGCCCTTTCTCTCTCCTAGGTCCTCATGTGCGATACATTCAGAAGCCTGACAACAGGCCCTGCTCCATCACCGACTCCGTCAAACGGTTCCCCAAAGAGGAGGCCACAGAGGGGAACGCCACCAGCCCACCGCAGAACCCACCTTCCAACCTCACTGTGGTCACTGTGGAAGGATGCCCCTCATTCGTCATCTTGGACTGGGAAAAGCCACTCAATGACACTGTCACTGGTAAGACCATGGCATAGGGCTGTTACTATTGTGGAAAGCTTTGATAATGCACTGCTTTGGGACTGCAGAACCTTGAGTCAAACTGTGGGTCCTGTCTCAGGAGTAGTGAGTCCTAACAGAGTTCTGCTGTCCCTGTGCACATTATTGTCGAAAGTGTCATGATTGGAAGAGATCATCTTTGTCCTGGTTATGGGCTCCCTGTCAATTTAGCAGATCTCCCTAGGTTGCATCCTCTTAGAACTCAGATATATCTAGTTTTTTCCATTACCAAGAAAATTACAGATAATATATGAGAAGTTGCCACTGCTGATGATATTTAAATCAGTTTTCCTTTCACCAACCCAATTTCTAGATGGACCTAGAACTTTCAAGCAGGCTAAATGTTATTTCAGTCATTTTAGGGTACATGTTTTAAAAATTCTATGCCCGATTTTCTGCTCATCTCCTGAAATTTTGACTCGGCTAACCACCCATCCACTTCCTCTAAAAATTACTGTGAAAATAAGAAATCCTGAGTCATTCTTTGAACTTGTTATATGGGAAATTAATTCTCTATAGTAAACAGGTTAATAAAACTAGAAAGGAGAAAAGACTAATGACCTAAATCAGCTCAAGAATATAGCCACTGCCTGTGGTTCCCAGGGACTTGCCTAGTCCTGCTTCTTTACTTGGGACTGTGCCCTTAGATGCTAAGTCAATATCTAAAAACACGTAGTATCTAAACTCTAAGTCAACATCTAAAAATCAATCAATCTCTATTGATTACCTACATGTATTAAAAAGTTCAAAACTCTCAGTCCATATACTGTGCTAATAAGGAGTTCCTGTGATAGTCTGAGGCTTAGTTCTCACAAAACCAAATGACCTTTAAAATTTCATTTGCTTTAAAGATGTGGACATCAAGTTGGAATTGGTTAATCTAACAGCTCTAATACAGTGATTTTCAACTGGTGTACCAGAAGAATCTTTCCCTTAGATAGTCAAAAAAATGACAACAGCCAACACAACAATAGCCATCCAGTGCAAATGAATCAAAATTATACCTACTTTTTGTCAGATTGGCAAAAAGTATATTTTTGGTGTGCCGCAGAATTTTAGTACTGTGGTACCTCGATCTTCACCGGCTCCGTGGAGGAACATTTCCGGTGACTAAGGCCGTGAACCCGGAAGGAAACGCCCGGTTTTCAAACCCGCCTCGGAGGCGGAACAGGCCGCTGGCTTCCGCGAGGGAAGGCCCCGAGGCCCGCTGCGGGCTGTGGGTGCCTCGGTTTCCCGGCGTTTCAGGACGCGCACGGTCTCCAGAACGGGTGACATTCGAAACCCCAGGCACCGCTGTAATTAGTTTATGTGCGCCATGAGATGAAAAAGGTTGAAAATTGCTAATCTAATACTTCTAATACATATTCACTTGTGTATGTCAATTATAGCTGATTTAATTTTTTTTTAAAGCCGATGAATTTTCCTTTCTGGTTCATTATGTAACATTTTTAAAACTTATATAAACTTGTGTTGTAATCTCAAAGTATTCTAACCAATTACTTTTGGAGCATTGTTACCAAATGTTAATAGGCTGCTTGAGATCTTTCACAAGATAATGAACTTACAATAACAATTTTCATGTATAAGGACCACATCTCTTTAGTTGTAATATTTTCTACATAGAAATAATTCTGTATTTAACCATTACTCATCTAGTCTGTATTTAAATGTTGGATAATATATCCTAATGTCCTTTTCTGGTTTTTTTTTCCATTTCTGTTTATTTTTACATTATTAAATACCACTTGATTTCAAATGTAACCTTTCATAAACCAGAAGCTCAGATAATACAGAAATTAATTCTCATGTCACTGAAAATGATATGAAAGGAAGGAATTCAGAAAGATAACAGAGTGAAACATGTTCTTTATTCCATGAGTTGGCCTCTGTCAATAATCTTAATTTACAGACTCCTATGTATTCACCTCTAGTAAATACATTTAAATTCATCTGCTTCTACATGTCCCTTCTACACTAATGTAGAAATAGGTGACCTAAGAAATTGGCCATAGCCTGCTTGGGTCATTGGCAACTTAAAGTTAAATTGGTTATAAGGTGTCGCTTTGTGATATGCCAAGAGTGTGCTGGCATAGATTTAAATCCCAGACCAGCTGTGTTCTAAATATGGAACTTGAGTATATAATTAGCCTCTTTGAACTTCAGTTTCCTTAGTTGTAATGATACCCATTGTTATCAGTTTATCCTGAGGATAAAATTAAAGGGAATGAATGCAAAGCATAGGTCAGCAACTGTTAAATTAATGTTTGTCAGGGGATGCAGTAGCAGGATAGGTAAAAATAGTATCACCATTACTATTTTCATCTCTATTGACCAGAGTGATGTCCCCAAACTTTATAACAAGTCATTTTTTCTATTAAGTGAATTATCTCATAATAAGGCAATAAAACCCTTGGAAGGGAAGAAAGACCAATTATTTAGTGTTAGTTCTTTATAGACTTCCTTGTATATTTACTGTTAATAAAATTATAAACAAAGTCCCATGTATGAAAAGAAGGAATATAGACATAAAGTTAAGAGTCTGTCTTCACCATCTGAAATATACTCAGAATGTGTCTACAATATTCATTCCAAAATTAATATTCCATTTTTATAATGTTGGTGGATTTATTAAAAATCTATTATTGCCTAAAATATTAAAAATAAAAGATATATTTACAAAGCCCAAAAATATACATTCAAAAAGCCAGAATTGAGAGAAGTTTTTTGTTTGTTTTGTTTTTTAAAAATATATCTTTACTGATTTTAGAGAGAGGAAGGGAGAAGGAGAGAGAGAGAGAGAGTCATTGATCGGCTGCCTCCCACATGCCCCCGACTCGGGATCGAACCTGCACCCTGGGCATGTGCCCTAACCAGGAATCAAACCTCGATCTCCTGAATCCTAGGCCGATGCTCAACCACTGAGCCACACCCGGCCGGGCCTGAGAGAAGTTTTAATACCTGTTTAATTACGAAGGTAACTTCTAGATTCATTTTGAAAACTACGGTCTTTTAGGACTAAAATAGTATTGAATCATCTTTTAAATTTTGAGTCAAAAGAAACTTAGAGAAGATGTACAATAAGAGTTTCAGGTACTGAAGGGCTGGGGTAATATTAAAAAGAATATTATGCAGTTGATGAGTGCTCCAAGTCAGCGATGTTTTCTGAAGGTAGTAGCTTTTATGCTTTACCAACTGGAATGTCATATAAGTTGTCCTTTTGGTAACTAAGCTATACTTCAATCTTTTCTATTGGAATCTTTCAAATTTTTGTGACCCTATTTTCAAAACAGACTAATTAGGGATAATAAAAGCAACAATGACAACAGGTACCACCTGTTGAACCAACAGGCACTGACCATGCGTTCCTAACTCAATCCCCACAAGCAGTACTATGAAGAGATAAAATATATCTTAAAAATATATCTTTACTGATTTTACTTAAAAATGTATCTTACTTGAAACTTTACAGATGGGAAAACTGAAGCTAAGATGAAGGCAACTGGCTTGGTCAGTCTCTTTCCATCAAGCCACATCGTTTCCATTTTTAAAAAATCAATTTTACTTCCATTTTAATTACTAGTAAGTTTTTCTAGTAAATATCCACAGCTGAGGAAAAGATGTAAAATGGACACATTTGAATTCAGGATCCTTCCCCTTTCTCCCTCTCCACCCTCTTTTAGAATAGAAAACCAACTGAAATGGAACAAAAAGAGTTGGGAAACAACAAAACCAAACCCAAAACATGTGGGAACAAAAGAGCCCGAGGGAAGAATACTAAATACCAGCCATTGGCCCCTTAATAGCTGCACAGATGTATCCAGATACAATGGCCATTGCCTAATATTGAATTTTTGGAAGAATAGTCAAAAATTATTCAGAAAGTGTCATTCCATGCTCCTTTTTAGATTTTTAAAATATAGCATTAAAAATCCTTCCCCAATTAAAATTGGTAATTATGAGTCTCCTGAGTTGCTTGATGGTTCCCTACCTTTGGTCTCAGTGCTAATAGCAGCAATCCCCAGGAACTTGCCAGCTCCTCTGCAGCCTTCCCACTCTCCCTGCCGCCCACCACTTGTGTATTTCCTTATATTGATGGAGCTGATTTTGAATGGAGGTTTTGTTGTTTGGTTTTTGTTTGATTTTTTTAATCCTCTGTATGATCTTGTCACATGCATTAAACTAAACCCCAACCAAGAGCGAGGAAGACCAATGAACAAATTTGTAAATTATGTTTCCTATTCTGAAACTCTCTCTTTTGATTAGCCCTGCAAGTTCATAGAAACAAGCCTTTAAGTGAAATTTATGCAGATCTCTGTTCAGACTTTAAGGCTATAGTTTCTTTTTACAAATACAAGGATAATTATCAAAGGGGCATATTTAAGCAGTATGTACAAAACTTATGTAACTTATGTAAGAAGTAGGTTTAAAAATCCCATAATTCTATAAATCAACATAATGAACTGTAGGAAAGTATAGTTCATTGGTTAACTGTCATTTGTTGCTGTGGTTTGAGACTCAGAAGTTTTTTGCAGCAGCACCACATAGTCAGCGGCCTTTTCCCCACAGAGCTCCTATTCACGCCCCCTGAGACAGTACCTTCCAGCAACGGCAGGCTGACCTGCCGAACAAAACCACAGGCACCAGCCTCCAGGGCTCCCACAGGAGCGTCCTTCATCTTCCCAGCTGCCAGGCCTTCCCTGCTCTGCTAGAGAGAAAGCAGAAATGCTCTATGAGCAACTCCCCAAAGGCTTTGGGACCTTTGTCATCCGCTAGCCATCCCAACCTGGATATTGCTAATGTATAAGATGTATACGTAATGTATGCATAATGTGTAATAATGTATGCATAATGTATGCATAATACACATAATGTATAAGATCCGAACTGCGGTCTGAGTTGCTTATTTTTATGAGAGTGACTTTATTTTGCTATTAGCTTCAAGAACAATTAAATCAGCCAGAACATAAAGACGCGTATTTGTTGGCTTTTTCGCTTTTCAGAATATGAAGTTATATCCAGAGAAAATGGGTCATTCAGTGGGAAGAACAAGTCCATTCAAATTACAAATCAAACCTTCTCCACAGTAGAAAATCTGAAACCAAACACAAGGTAAGCCACCAGTGCTATTACAGGTGAATTCTGAGAGTGCAAAAAGTCTGAACGGAGTGGAATGACATCGTCCCTCTGTGTCTTCAGGGAGGGTCTAGTTTGCATTTCATTCTTTAGCTTTTCGTACACAGCACTTGACACCTCTAGAGTCATGTTTTGCAAATATGCAAGTTATTGGTGGAGATACAAGAGCTAACAAGATGGTCTTGTAAGCTAACAGTATAGCTGGGAACATTGAAAAATAGAAGATCATTAGTACCAAATGTTGATATTAAATACCAAAATTTAGAGAAGGAAAAGTCTGTGGACCAGTGACATGTGGAGTGTGCATGATATAAACTGGATTCGAAGTAGAGAATAATTTAGCTGGCATGCTGGAAAGGGGAGAGCCGGGAAATAAAAGCCATATGCTAAATGCAGGTGAAAGTTTACAACAGTTAATGCTTAAAATAACTAGAGACTAGTCCCAGTCCCAGACATAGCAATCCTTTGCTTAGGGGGTCTTTTTATCATAGACAAATGAGAACAGATTGTTGAAAAGAGATATAAATAATATTAGCATTGTTCTATAATAAACAACTTTTCTTTGTATCCTTCATTACACAGTGATACCAGGTTGTTTATATTGCTGTAGAGTTTTGTGGTTCCTTTATAAATATAAAATACCCAATATTTTGTCAGTTCATTTTATTATTACAAGAAATATAAAGGCCTTGGACATTTCTAGAAATGCAGTAAGGTTTTCTATGTTTTGTTTTACCTGGCTAAATCGCCAAATTTAGCCATGTCAAACAAAACAAAAATCAGGGAGATTCTTAAATGGATACAGCCAAGCATTTTCTTAACAAAGCCAATATGCTAAATGCAGTCCTGGACTGAATTTTACTCTCTGTGGGGAATCAGTTTCTTTCTTCAAACTCCAAAACGCTGTTTCATAAACTATCTATGCTTTCAGTTTAAAAAAAGAAAAAGAAACTGGCATCTTAAGTTATAGTACACCAAGGAACATAAGAGGGACACAGTCAGGAATTTTTCCAGAATTAATGTTTCATAGCTCGATAAAGTTCCTCAGTGTTGAAAACGATCAGCAGAGGTGAAGCCTGGAACTCCGGCATCAGAGGCTTTTTTCATAAATTTTACCTCCTGTATCTTTCACTGTCATCAATTGATTGAATTGAATTGGATATTGATCATCACGCCCAAAAGAGCCTATTTTGGCTCCAACAGCCGGGAGACACTCCTAATCTTTTCAGGGGAAAAGGAAGCATCTATTTCATTATAGATTGTTTGCTGTATGTGAAACTGATCCAATTCTGCAAAAATAAGACTTTTCCACAAGCATTTTTTCTCAAGTTTTCTATGATGAGTTGTAATATGGAAAATTTTGTAACTGCTGATGTTCTTAAAGGATTTAAGTTAGCCAAAATAAGCATATATTTCAGTAACGAAGATCTTGGTTCTGTTTTCTTAACAAGATTAACAGTGACAGAGCCTATTTTTACCATAATATATTTTAAAGAAAAAGTAAAAAAGAAAATTCATTTAATTTGGACTTTTTAATACATGAATTTGGGCTTATGGGACTTCGATGGTTTCTCTCTCATTTCCTGCTTTTTTTTTTCCCCCCCCCCACTTAATAAAAATGGGCTGTATAGTACACAGGAAGTGCATTGAAAGACATCCAATTTCTAAATGATCATTGTGTTCCTTTTCTGAAACAGGCTGTCCTCAGATCTCACAGGGCACCTATTAGCTATAATCAGAAGTAGCACAGTTATTCCAGTGACATTGTCACTGTGATTTGTTTATAAAAGGTTTGCATTTCCATTCAGCTAACATTTATTAAGTACCAACAGTGTGCTCAGTGGTGTGCTTGGTGTTGTGGCTACAAACATGAAAAAAACATGGTGCCTGCTCTTGAGGAGCTGGAGGCTGGGGGCTCGGCAGCTAAATAACCGATTATTCTACACAGTGGTGAGAGCTCTAGCAGAAGCGGGCCCAAGGTGCTACGGGAGCCCAGAGTGGGTGGCACTTCGCAAAGTCTGGGGAAATTAGGGAAATCTTCCGGAAGAGCCTGGGCTATGCTTGAAGGATAAGTAGGAAGGAGCCAGCTAGGTGACTGTCTTAGGGGAAAGCAGTGTCAGAGAGAGTAGCACGTGTCAGTGCAGAGGCCCAGCACGGAGCGGTCGTGGGCAGTGGGCAATACAGTCCCACCTGTGTGAGGTGAAACGCGGACGGAAGCAGTGGCGGCAGAGAGGTGGAAGCTAGGTTGTGCAGAGCTTTCTATGCCAGGTCAGGAAAATGGGTCAAAAAATGGGGAGACCTTGGAGGATGGTAACTGGGGAGGGATGTGTTCTTTCATTTTAGTTTTCATCCTGACTTTCACTTAGTTGGACAAGTCATTTTTGACACTAGAGCTACTTAAAATGAGTGGCAGTTGGTGGACTAAATCTACCAAAAAAGGACATTTTGTTAATCTCATGTAAGAAAGCCATTTTGGCACCTGACCTAATTGGTCAGGTAGGTACATGAAAGAAAAGGACCTTTGGGCTGAGTTGCATTTCAATCTGGAATCACAGGACCAACTGGGGATTCACATCTAGCTCCTGGTTGTAATTGTTTGTGGGACTCATGCTAATTGTTTCTGGACTTGGCTTCAGACTGAAACACAACTGTGTCCCATTTGTCCCACCCTCAATGTATGTGTCTTGCTTATGTCTCTTGGCCTTCACCTGTGGGCCTTCTAAGGAGGACCCCTACAGCCTATTCTCACCTCAAGACAAAGCCTGAAGGAGGCCCTTTCTGGATTTTTCTTTGGGAAAGCAATGTTAAGTTTAGTTTAGAAATCCCTGAAGTCAGAACCCATGCTGAGTTTTACTACTAGGCATAAATTTGAGGCCATTCAGTGTGTCTGTATGTGGCTCACTTAACGTTACTTTTAGAGTTTGGTATGATTGAATGAAATACATTAGGATATAAAGACTATTAATGTTCATATATATGATTTAACCAGAATTATATTGATAGTCCCTAATGGGTCAGGATTTAAAAGTTGTATATCAGTGATTTGAAGTAAAGAATATTTTCCCATTGGAGGCAAATATAATGCATGTGGATGTAGAGGTGCTCTAATAAAAGTTGTTTTGCCTACAATACGTGAAACTGGTGTTCAGTAGATCCCAGTACCCAATGAGCTTATGAACGCATCCCATGCTCTCTAACCAGAGGTATGCTAGAGATTAATTTGTCTAATTTAATGGGCAAAATGTTTTGAACTGAAATATTAAAATCTATTTGTTGAAACCCCTATTAGTTAAGGTAACTTAATAAGTTAAGGAAGAATAAAGTGAAGTAGAATTATTTCATTTAAGGTTTTGGAAGCCTAAAGGTGCCTAGAGAAACAAAACTAACACCCATGAAACAAGCATTATAAGACAGTATAAAAGAACATGCTAGCGTAGGACTTACACCCAGTTCTGCAATTTATCAGGAGAGAAAGCTTCATGGAGTACTTGATACTATAACTTGGTGACAGAGGACAGGAAGGAATGGGACAGGCTGGCAAGAAAAGAAAGAGCAACCATAGTATACAAGTCAATTCCATGTGCATGACTCCAGTGAAATACAAGTAGTCCTCAAAGTTACTACTGACAGCAAGGCTGCAGCCAGAATACTAAAATCAGGATTCCCAAATGTAGGTTCTTTGGCTTTTTTGATTTGAACTTTTTTTCTTACTGTATAACATTGTGGTTTCATTCCATTGTATCTTCTGCCCAACTATGGCCCAAGATTAATGCTAATAAAAGACACTGTAAAGAGGAAGTATGTACAGGATGCAGCCACCAGGTGGTTTTTATTAGTTTATAAAGAATGACTGTGTCACATTTCAATGCTTGGGGAAAATTTTATAATCAAAATATAGGGTAAAATTGAATTCCCAAAATAGAGAAACTTTGAATTATAGCTGTTAAAATCCCCTCCACCTTGATTCTGGAACTCCCTATTTGAAAAGCTGGAAGAGAATAACTTCTAAAAGAATTACTATAATTGCATTCCAGTTCTAGGAGGCATATGTAAATAATTTATTTTAATAGCATTTTCCATCATTTGTCCAGGCTAAAAAAAAAACCCTAAGCTCTAAAACAGGTGATAATTACTGGCTAATCATTACACACAGACAAGGATGGAGTAGAGAGTTTGGTGTTAGAACATTTAACCCAAGAGAATCAAGGCTGAGAAAATAGACCTGCAGAGCCCAAAAAATAGCCCACAGTGTGGCACCATCCAGCAGCTGACTTACTGCTGGGAGGGTTCAGCTCCACACCTGGCAAGAGATGGTTCTGTTTATAGAAAGTGGAGCTACACAGCTATTCTGGGGCACATGGGTGCAGCCCCAGCCTTGTCAATGACCCATCCAGCCCACTCCCCAATATTTATTTTCCACTTATTTTTCCCCCCATGAAACCTCAGTGTGTGATTCTTGTTGAACTAAAAGAAAAATATTGAGAAAATCCTCTCCTATCTGGAGCCAACCACTTTGTTTGCAAAGACCACTATGATTATTTTTAGTTCTGCAAACAGAACTGATAAAGTATATGACTTAAATAAGGAGTCTTACACCACTGCTTAAAGGATTAAGAAGTGTGGACTAATCTCAAAGTCTCTCCCAGCTCTAAAATGATATAATCTTATGATATCTGAAGACATGCACAGCATCAGTGAGAAAATTGGAACTGAAAATAAAGCCAAAACCTAGGCCAGGCTTATAGCAAGTAGAATTGTCCTGATAAACCATTTTCTTTGACTCTGTGTCTGTGGCATGCAATGTGTTTTCAGAGAAATCGTTTTTAAACTCATTTTGATAGTCCATTGATGGGCCAGGTTCTTCCTAAGGAACTGGTTGGGCCATATGGAAGGACACACACACCTGCTGCACACTAACTAAAAAGAAGCCCTTTAGCCCTGGCTGGTTTGGTTCAGTGACAGAGCATCAGCCTGTG